CGAGGCAGAGTGAGGAGAGTAGTTCTGGTTAAAACAGCTCCAAAGAGACCCAAGATTAGTAAAAACAAGAAGAACAACAACCCAAGAACACTGCAACAGAGTCCTTTGCTCTTAATATCGCGGCCTTTTCAATTAAAATTGCATCTGGTAACCATGGTAATTGCTGAGCGCGGGGAAAAATCGCGAAAATAAGCAGCCGCGAATATATCCCGACCTACGGTATTAAGAAAGTTGAAAACCACTGCAATAGCTACAATTTACATATATATCAAGAATTATAAGCTATACTAATGGATACAACAATGCTAAACACACACAAACACATAGCTAGGCTACTTGCTGGGACCTTTAATACCTTAGAAAAATTTTCCCTTTTCTCCTACAACAATGAAACGTTTGCAGAATAACAGATATATATAATACTAATAAGCTACCATGTAACTGTAATTGCATTCATTCTATTTTACAAGTTATAGAATTTAATATGATTTTTGTGTCAGCCATTTTAAATCCTTACAGTGGAAACAAGCACCTGAAACCATAGGCGGTTCCAGGGGTGGGCATATTAAGGGGCAATGCGCATGCCCACCCTGAAGTTTTGACAGGAAAAGGAAGTCATCATAATCATTAAAATTAATTATTATTGTTATTAAAATTAACTTTTCATGAATATTTTGAATGTTAATTTTGTAATCATTTCTTGCAATGGCAACCAAGCGTCAAGCAACTTTCCTTTCTTTCTTGCCTCCTAAACCAGAAAAAAAGAAATACCAATGATGATGACCTTATTGAAAGAAGTAAGGTTAATAACTAACATGTATAGATCTATAAATAAGCAAGTACTGCTTGTCATAAATCATCAGTTGTGTTAATGGCAGCTGCACACAAAATTTACTACCTGAAATTTCTATAGATGAGCCAGATCTAGTGTCAGTTGATTTCACAGAGTTAGAGACTAATGATTATGATCTTCCTTGTGATACTTCTACTTCTAGTGATGCTGAGCCTGATTAGTCTGATTAGTCTCGCTATAGCCAGACCATTCCCCAGCCTACAGTCATTGGGGTGGACGGAAATGGCTGTAGGCTGGGGAATGGTCTGGCTAGCGAGACTAAAGTCTCACAGTCAATCACGAAGTCACACTCACG